TTCCTTTCGCACACATCACAGCTCCCCAAGAAGCAGGGGCTGTTGCTCCCGCATGCCCAGCACAAGGCTGGTTTAAGGCACTCATTCCCTCCAAGTCCCAGGCGCTCTGGCTCCATCACATACATCATGGCCACAGCTGCCTGGCTGGGCGAGGAGTCCAGGAGAGCTCTCCTTTCTCGGGATCATGGTTCATATTCCTGGCCAGAGAAAGAAGTCCCATCTGTCCTCTGCTAGAGAAGGTGAATTCCTGGGCCGGGTTGCCCTCAGGTACCTGAGGACATGGGGGTCCCCTGCAGGTCCCCTGGAAAGAAGGGTGTTGGGCACCCCAGTCTGGGAAAACAGTGAGCAGCACCCATCCCAGGCCGCAGGTGCACCCATCACCTGGCAGTGCTTGGCCTCAGACTCCCCCCCGGAAACTCTGGCCGGTTTTTCACAGATGTGTTTTCAGGAGTGTTCAGCACAGCGGTGGTGGAGAGAGCAGGGAATGCACCAGTACTAATGCCCAAGGAGATGGATGGTGGCTCAGTCCGTTAAGCCGCCGACTCTTGATTTTGGCTCAGGATGTGATCTCATGGTGTGGGATCGAGCCCCACGTAGGGTCTGTGTTCAGGGCAGCGCGGGCTCACGATTCTCTCTTCCACCTCCTGTGTCTACTACCACTCTCGTGCCACGCTCTCTCTCTCAAATAAATTAATAAAATCTTTATAAAAATGGAATCATACAGAATGTACTTTTAAAAAATGGTAAAAAATCTATCATAAGATCTCACTGATATGAGGAATTCTTAATCTCAGGAAACCAACTGAGGGTTGCTGGAGTGGGGGTGGGTTGGGAGGGATGGGGTGGCTGCGTGATAGACATTGGGGAGGGTATGTGCTATGGTGAGCGCTGTGAATTGTGTAAGACTGTTGAATCACAGACCTGTACCTCTGAAACAAATAATACAGTATATGTTAAGAAAAAAGAAGAAGATAGTAGGAAGGGAAAAATGATGTAATCTATGGTGATTAACATAACATAACATAACATAATAAAAAAAAGGAAAAAAATTGTAAAAAATCATAACATTGATTTTGCCATCCAGACAAGCTTGTGCTGAGCCTGAGGAGGGGGTCTGTGTGGAGACCCCAGAATCTGTTTTCTGCTAATGGAACTGATTATGATGGCTTTCCTGAGTCGCCTGAACCCTCTCCTCCACCTTCCCTGCCCCACCTCACTGTTCTCCTGAGAGCAGGTGAAGAAGGGCGTGTGTGGTGCCTGCTCGGAACCTCAGCCTCTGTTTTACCCGTTTCCACTCCTCACCACCTCTTATGAGGCTGTTGGCAGTGCAGCTGCGGTTGGTTTGGGGGCCTGGTTCGGCTTGGATTTAGTTGGAGGGCAGATTCAAGGCCAGGCCAGGCGCCAGAGACCAAGTGTCCTCTCAGGGTGAGTCCTTCGAGCTGGAGGGATGGTCGCGCTGGAAACAGCCATTGCTAACATGGCTTTGGGGACGTCTGAATTGAGTCCCTGCCTCCTCCTGCCTGGCAAGTCTCATACCCTGTGCCAGCCCTGTGTTTGGACAGTGGAGGACACAGGCAAAATGGTGTCACTGTTCTTGGGAGGCAGGACATGGGGTGGTGGGGCATATGTTCTCTCACCTGAATATGGAAGCCTTCAGTTCCCTCCTTCTCTTTTCCTGCCAGGATCCTGGCCACGGCTGGCACTGACTTTGACCTGCGGACCCTGCGGGCTGTGCGCTTCTCAGGCCCCTGAAGTTGGTGTCTGGGATTCCGAGTGAGTCTGGCAAGAGCAATTAGGCCCAAGCCTACCTGGATCACTAACCTCCTCCCCAACTCCACCATGGCCATGGACACAGTTAAGCCCTAACCATTGGCCCCTTTGGCTTTGGTGACTCTAAGATCAGTGCTTCTGACCCCTGGGAACCAGGTGTGAAGAGGCCTTGAAATTCTCTGTGAAACCCCAGAAGTTGGCCCTGTTGTTTTGCCCTGACTTGGCTTCCCCAGCTGGAAGCTTTGCTTCTCCTCACATTCTCTGCTATA